CCCCCCCCCCCCCCCTTTGAATCTTTATCTAGCAACAGAATTGTCAGCTGTTGCTGGCCCTGTTTGTATGTACAGCTCCATGCATACCCATAATGTTAAATAACAGTAAATAAGCTACAGGAAACCAGGCATACAGGGAGGATGCTGTGTAGCCTTTTTGTTGCTGATGAATAGTTTTATTTTTCCTTTTAGGAGGCTGCTGGAGTCTTCCCTCATTTCATTATCACGCTACGATGGAGCAGGGTCCCGGGAACACCCTATCTACCCTGATCCAGCCAGGTAAGGAGGACTAAATGCACTCCAGTTTCACAGCTAGAAGCATTATTGTTGTGTGAGAAATGTATTGCCCTTTCTAAGAAGAATGCTGGTAGGTGAGCTCACCCTTGATTGGAATTTAGTTTGGAGATGTGCATGCACTCTGGCCTTTTGACAGCTCTCATCCATGCTAGCCTTTGTTGAATTGAGTGATGTATAAGATCAGGTGTCTGGGACTTAACAGGCAGCCCAGTGTGGACTAACTGCCCCATTGGTCAAACCTGCCAGAGGCTCTGACTGGCAACCCCACCCGACTCTCTGGTTTATGAACCAGCTGACCACTATTAGGGTCTCCTGTTAGACTGCTGGGTATAGCAGCATCCCCACTGAGTCCACCTATGGCAGAAGACTGCAGGCCAGCCAGCAGTTATGTCACAAGAACTCCTGTGGTAAGCCTGTCTGTGTTTTGAGCTCTTTGGTTTCTTGGTTTCTGACGCTGCTTGGTTCTGCTTCTGGACTCTTGTTTTTGGGATCTCTGCCTGGCTTGGGTAATTTGGTCCCTGACTCAGGGTGTGACGTGGACTCTGCTTCTGCACTTCTCCTTTGAACTCAATAACTTGGATTCTAGCTCCTGCCCCTCAGTGTGGTTCTGGGTTCCCCAGTTCTTATCTCTAGTCCTCCCCTGCTAGACTAGACCACTTTACGATGCAGCGGTTACGTCAGGTATGGAAGGACAAAGGTGAACAAGGGAATGTTTTGCTTCCCAAATGTTTTACTCCATGTAGTGAGGGTTGGTGTTGGATATCTTGTCACCATCCTTGCCTACTTAAAATAAACCATGCCACAGAAGAAAGGATTCTGTATAGGGCAAACATAGTTCACCTGAGATTACTAGTAATCTTCTGGATCATGAGCTTATCCTCAAATCTGAGAATTCATAGTTTCTAGGGTCGGAAGGGACCTGAGGAGATCATCTAGTCTGACCCCCTGCCATGGCAGGAAAGAGTACTGGGGTCAAACGACTCCAGCAAGGTGTACATCTAACCTCCTCTTAAAGACCCCCAGGGTAGGAGCCAGCACCACTTCTCTTGGAAGTTGGTTCCAGATCCTAGCCGCCCTGACCGTGAAGTAGCGCCTCCTGATATCTAGCCTAAATCTACCCTCTACCAGCTTGTGACCGTTATTCCTGGTCACTCCTGGAAGTGCGTGGGGGAACAGGGACTTCCCCAGTGCCTGCCGATTTCCCCCTGACTAGTTTGTGACAGGCCACTAGATCCCCACTCAGCCTTCTCTTGTGGAGGCTGAACAGGTTCAGGTCCCGTAGCCTCTCCTCATAGGGCCTGCCCTGCTGTCCCCTGATCATG